TCAATTTTCTTATTCTCTAACACCCACCCCCCGCCCGACTCAAACACCCAAAATCAACCTCTCATCTTCTATTTACACATTTCCATCTGCTTTTCTGATGCTAAACCCTTCGGCATTTAAGGGATCTCTTACCACTCTGACCCCCAGTGACTGGAATGATTGTTTCCAAGGCCTCTCGCTGCTACCTCCTGCCTCAGTGACTGTTAACACCACCTCCATCCTTCCCCTCACCAGGAGTAGCAACTAGATACCCAGACAGGTGCCGCTGACTCCCTGACTCTTGTGTCTCCTTCTTTCACATTTCAGGTTCTTGACAAATACAGTGGTTGCCTCCTCTGTATAATCTCTTCCAACAAATTCCCACAGCCTCCCTCTCCATCTCAACAGACCAGATGCACCTACTTATCTCCCTCCTGTCTCCTGCCATTTTTAAATGTCTCCACTGCTTTCACCTCTTTCCCTTTTTGTCTCTCCCTCCTGCTGTCTCCCATCTCCTTTGCTCTGATCAAGCACTAAACCAAGTCACTCCCTTTTGCTTCCTTCACTGGGGTCTGATTTTGAGCTTTCTTTCAAGCTTCAAGGTACAGAAAAAGCTCTCGCTCTTCTTCCACAATACTATTAAAGAGTACTTATTCTTGGCTGTACTCTGGTTACAGTGAACCCGACTGCATCGTTGTACTATCCTATTCCATATTTCACCCACCTTTGCCCACAGGCACCTCTTTCAGCCAACACTGCCCTAGGTACCATGCACGAACAGCACAGAGTAAACCACATAAAGTCTGCACTCATTGCATGGACTCCTTTTTAAAGTATTAGCTTACCAATTTTCAACTCTTTAAAATTTGCAAGGAATCAGATACTACTGATGTGTATCATAATATTTTTGTTCTACTGCAGAAGTCAACAAAGAAGCTTCTAAAATCGCGGGAGGTTTGTTTTCACCAGCTTTAATCAAAAGCAGCTGTAACAATGTAATTGGAGGGGGAGGCTTCCCTTTAAATTGCTGGGTTTTAAAACAGCCAAAATATTGAAAACATGAAAAAAGGATTCATAATGGAAGCTCTGAAAAGCCTTCATCTACTAGCTTTGCGATGCTAATAACTTTTGGCCTCAGACTATCCAAGTGATAATAAATGCACTGTGTATTTTGCAGAGCCATTCACTCCCATCAAGATGTTTTCTGGAGCCAGCAATGAGGTACAATTCTTATGGAAGTGTCCTGCTTCAGCTTATGAACAACGAAGTGCTGATGTGGAAAATAACTCAAAATAGGGTCTGTGGGAGCTCTCTTGAAAAAAGAAAAAAAGAAAGAAAGAGACAAACAAAGGGATGCTTTGAAGCTGACAGCATTAGTCAGAAATGTGTTTGTTTTTTGCCTCTTTTTATATGCTGAGGAAATAGGCACAGAAACATCATTATACTAATTTAATTTTTACTAGAGAGAGGATCCAGCATTCACCCATCTACCACACGCACAACACAAGGGGAAAAGATCCGTGCTGTAGCACTGTAGATGGAAAAAGTGACTTTCTTGTTTTTCCCTTAGTTCAATATATCAATAACCCACCTTATTAAGTGAAGCCATTTAAATACACGATAAGAGACAACACGGTATTTTTCCCGCACAAAGCACAGCCCTAGGAGGCCAGCCAACACAATGATGTTTCAAAGGTGGGAGAATGAAGCCAGTTCGGGAGCAGATAAAGGGCCATTTGGGCAAGGACCCCTGCTGACTGCATGAAAGTGTCTCCTTTTCCATTGCGAGGCTTTTAAAACTGCATTTGTTTGTTGCTGACCATACCTTGGATGGTAAAGCCTTTGGGATCCGATTTCACTTTTTTTAGCTGGGGGGGGTTAGGGTTAGGGTTAGGGTTGGGACTGGTAGCAGATACTTGCAGCGTCCTCTGCAAGTGCAATCAAGGATGACAGAAATCACAGCCGCTGAGCTCCCGCGAAGGCAAGGACACAAATAATGGCTTTCCTGCCGGGGACAGGGGGTCGGACTCGATGACCTACCGAGGTCCCCGCCAACCCCAACGTCTCCGACCCCCTGAACCCTAGAGCAGGGGAGAGTGGGGATGGAGGAGGACAGTCCCCTTGACAGACCGCCTGCTCCCTCGTGCCTTGCCCCACCATTGTTGAGCGCGGGAGCCCATGGTGGCTCAGGACCACCCCTAGGAGGGGCTGGATGCGACCCTGGAGCGAGCCGGCACGGCACCAGACCTCTACCCACCGCCGCGTGTCGGTCAAGCAGCCCACCCCAAACCTCCCGGGGAAGGAAAGCAGGGGGTGCCCCTGACAAGAAAAGTTGCGAGGCTCGGGAGAGCCGGGGCCGAGCCGAGACAGGCAGGCGGGCGGCTCCCGGTCCCCTCGCGCCGTACCTGCATGGTGACGACCCCCAGTTCCTCCGCCGCCAGCCGCCGCATCTGCGTGGCCACAACTTGCGCCTCGTCCAGGATGGAAAACTCCGCCTCGGCCGC